CACGTTTCAAGCAGTCAAGAATCTCTCTGCTCATCCCACATATCTATGTTTTGGGCTGTTTTGTAAATTTGTTGGTGATTTTTAGGTATATTTGAAGATGATTAGTTTTTCTCAAAGGTTTAGTAAAATTTATGGAAATAGGAAATTTTGAAGATATGGTGTTGTTTTAAAATTAGAATTTGAAGTTAAAAATTGGTAGACGTACACCAGAACGTAAGCTCTTTTGTAATTCTATTTGATTTTTATTACCGGCCGTTTTGTAAGGACGACACAAATTAAAACTGGACTTGCAAAACCAAGGTGCTTTCCCTCTTTCCTCGAGGAAATCACAAATGCTCCCAGCGCACAGAAAATACTCTTGAAGAAGGAAAATATTTACATTTTGCAAAGGAGAGCTGGGTATACCAGTGTTTGTACATCGTCAGGCAGACTCCCAAGGTATGGCCCCCGTATCTGCATTCCGGGGGTCCTCCCTTGCTCACAACTGGAAATCTAGCCTTAGGGATTTCGCGAAGGAACACGCCTCATCATACAGTGATTCCTGAGGGTGATATGACCCTTTTTCGGTCAACCAATTACTTTGCTTTGCAATTGACATCCTACTGCCGAAGTATTCCCTTCCTTACACTTGATTTTGATTAGACGCGAAAACAAGAAACGCTTCATGACGTCAACAGTCCACACAGCTCGTTTCCAGGCCCCCATGTGTACCTCACGGACGGCGAAGAGACGAAGAGAATGTTAGGGTCAGCACTCTTGGTTTCGTCACGCAGTTTGACGCCGACACTAGTGTTGAACCACTGGCCAAACTCTATATCGCTAAACGATACAAGGCTTTTTCAGTTCAAATAATCGCTCAATGTGCTGCGTTACTAGCTCTCTGCTTTCTTGCCCAGTGTATTTGAATAATCACGTAACCTTCATCGAGGTATTGTGTGACTATACAACAGAAACAGTCACGCAATGCTTCTGTCCCGTGACAATTCAGACACGACTGCATCAGAAGCCATATTAGCCCCCGGGGACTCCCATGTAAAAACGACGGGGCTGCTCCTGAGAAAGTTTGAAAAGAACCCCCGAG